TGGATGGTAGTAAGGGGAGGAATTTTTGCTGCGACCAAATTTAACAGAATTATGGCCCTTTGTTGATTTTTTCACTATATACCATATATATGTTGTCAGTGGGGGCATCCATGTCCTTTGGACACAGTTCTAGTTTTGATAATCATTTGCTTTAAATTAGGGTCACATTTGTAATGAAAATGGTTGCACTCAAAGGAGATCACTGTATTTAAGAAATAAATAGGAGTTTAACTAAACCTTTGATATAAAGCTATAAAAACTACATTTTTGTTCATAAAATTGTGCTTATTGTAGAATTTTGACAAAATATTTTTAAAAATATTACCTCAGTCAATTGAAAATCGATGTATAATTTATTCAGAAATCTAAGGATGCAGCCGAAATATAATATGGTAAAACCATTCCCTTTGTTGCCATGCTAATTAAAAGCGATGCACGGAATAAAATTGTCAAATCTGAAAGACGACAGAAAACAAATTCTTAATATTTGTGTTGTCATAATAATTTCAAATGTTTGTTTACGGTGTTATTCTCAGCAATGAGTTGTTTTGTCTTTACTATAAGATACTAAAGTTCTTTTGTCATTCAATCTTTAACTATCATACTGAAGAATCCTGTATAGTAAGAACATATGTCATTGTATATAGAACTATAATACTTTAAAAAAAATTTGGACAGTCAGATTGAATCTTCAGCTGTAATACTGTAAAACCTTGGAGAATCAAATCATATCTAGAACCATAGTACTTTAAAACTTTGGAGAGTCAGATGGAATATGGAACACATAGCTTTAATAATGCAAATGCTTGGAGAATCAAATACTGTAAAACATCGGAGAATCAGAACAGAATTATTGAATACCATAATAATGCAAAGCCTTGGAGGGTCAGGTAATACCTTGAAGCATAATATAGTAAAACTTAATCGAAGGGTCATATCAAAATCTAGAATCGTACTGCTGTAATATTTTTTGCAAATCAGGATTGAATCTTTAACTATACTACTATCAAGCATTTGAGAGTCAGATCATATCTTTAACCATAATAATGTATAATCTTAGAGGACCAGGTAACATCTTGACCAATAATACTATAAAACCATTGGAGAGTCAGATCATTTTTTAAACCATATTATTATAATGGAAAGCATCTGAGGGTAAGGTAACATCTTGAGCCATACTACTGTAAAATCTTTGAGAGTCAAATGAAATCTTACCATAGCGTTTTAGTTGGTAAAACTACATGGACATCATTTTTTAAATTACCAAAATGTAACCATGAATGTACAAGTGTAAAGTTGTTACAATACTGAATATAACGAATGTAAAGAAAATTAAAGTGTTAACCTAAACATTCTATAAGAATCTATAGAACAGCTTTTGCATTCATGTCATTTTCTTTTTGATAATTATTTTACTTTGTAATTTTTACTTAATATTGCCATCGATATATATTATTCATAATTTTAAGGGAGAAGCCAAGATAAAGAAAAACAGAGAATTACAAAATAAAGTTAAGCAACTTGAAGCGGACCATTCACGACAAATACGTTTTGGTGACATTTTAGCATATATTTCTACATGCAGCAGAGATAAACATGCCTTTTAAAAATCTTGATATAAGGAAAAGGAAAACATAAAGACGATCCTACACAACAGAATGTCAAATCTACTGTCTTTGTATCGCTAGATTGCAATGCAATATATCGCTATACTTGATCCCCTCAAACATAGTCGTTATTATATACTAACAACTCTGGCACATTATATTTACATTTCGATACCGTCTCACTTTGTATGTTGATTAATGACAGAATGCACATTTTCCTTAAGTGTGGTTTCCTGCTTACATTTACTATGGAAAGTATAACCAAAGTATAAGGAGAATGAACTCAAGACTGTTTTGCTTTCGATATAAACTTATCACGTGATAACATACCTAGTATGAGTTGTCAATTCATTTACCCGCTATAAAAATCTTTGCAACCAACACTACTAAAATCAGCAACTCTTGCTTAATTCATTTACCCGTTATAAAGATCTTTGCAACCAACACTACTAAAATAAGCAACTCTTGCTTAATTCATTTACCCGTTATAAAGATCTTTGCAACCAACACTACTAAAATAAGCAACTCTTGCTTAACACATGAAAAACCATAGTTTGAGTTGTCATACCACGTAGGCGCCTACTTTTGTTGTCCTTTTTTGTAGCAAAGTAAAACATTCTGATTGGCCGGCTACACGCGATGCATTGGTCGAAATAGGCGAAACTTGTTTATAAATGGCGGTAGGAAACAGGTTTCATATTTTTGTTGTAATTTTATTGAAATGTTTGCTTAAGCCTTTAATTAATGTAAGCAATGTTAATCTTATTTCATATTTGCATTTTGCTACTCTTTCTAATATGATTGAAAAAATGTAAATTTTGAATAAAGATAATTTTTCTAGAAAACGATATCAACACAAGCGCAGAGTGAATTATCTGACACCAAGCAAGAAAGGAAACGATTGAAAGACGACATATTAAAGTTGCAAACGGAGATAGACGAAATGGTTTGTATGATTTGATGTCGAATATATTTCTTAATAAATACTGATTTCCAATATTCAGATAATGCATATTAATAAAACAGGTTATTAGCGACCTTATTGTTAGGTAAATCGTTTTATATTATAGACAAATCAAAAGCATTTAGATGGAAAATAAAATTTACCAACGATAACATACATTAACAATAAGTAAACCACTGATACCTCTAAATTACCGGTCAGCTCCGTATATCTTAATTAGTAACGCAGACGATTCGTTTTCCGATCCTCTATCTTAAGAAAACAAAAGCAAACGTCATTGACGTGCTATAAAAAAAGCTCAAAAAGAGCTGTCGGGACGCTGTTTTAGCATGTAATGCATTTTTCAAGCATAAAAGTTTTGAAGTTTTACATGAAACAAAATAGAATTGTTTTTTCAAGAAAAAAATAAAAGCTGAAGGCTGCCATGCAGAACTATCATTGCTGAATTTCAATCTTCAAAATAATAAACTGATCATAAAAAGAGAAACAAGTATTGGGTCATTGGCAAAAGGGGAGAACATAAATACAGACATTGAAACCAAAATGTCCAATACTTTATTATTCTTATGTTCATTCTTTGTAAAAACAACTGCGAAAAAATATATCAATATCTTTGTATTAGAATTGAAGGAAATGTTTCTGAAAATGTACGTCAAAAGTCAAATGTTCGTTTAGACTTACTGCTGAACAATTCAACCTTTACTATAAAAAACATTTCTTTTCTTAATGAATGCACATCATCCAGCTTAATATGTTAACATGAATATATACTTAATCAATGATTTGAATATTATTTTAGAAGTCTTCTAAAGATGAAGAAATAAGCATTAACAAAGAATTACAATTGAAGCTGAAGAATCTTGAATCAGATCTGGAAAGAGAAGTAAGTAAAACAAGTAAAATATTTCTATATGGAGTTATTTGATATCTGCAAAGTACCAATACTGTAAAATATTTGGGAGTCAGATATTGAACCATCATACTGTCAAATTTTAGATAGTCGTATTGTATCTTGAACAAAAATTCTGTAAAACTTTAAAGTCAGATTGAATCTTTAACTATAATACTGTAAACCGTTTAAAGTCAGATCGTATCTTAAAGGAAAATGCTGTAAAATATTGAAGAATCAGACTGAATTTTTTTACTGTAGTTCTGTAAAATAGGGAGAAAATAAAGAGTCCCTCAAGAACCCAAAAATGATCAAACTATAAATGTTGCAGTTGCGGTTTGATTGAACCTGTTCACGATAATGGAAAATGCAAATTACCGTCCACGCCACCCACTAGCACCGATTTAAGCAAAATTCAACCTTAATTTTAATGATGGCAAATTTACTTTATGTCACCAATGCTCAATAGGGTATATGCGTTTTAGCAACCTTCTAAATATGATTAGAAAAAAATGAAAATATTGAATATATATATTTTTTTTTCTTCTAGAAAACGTTATCAACACAAGCGCAGAGTGAATTATCAATTAGTAAACAAGAAAACAAACGATTGGAAGATGACAATTTGAAGATGCAAATGGAGGTAAACAAAATGGTTTGTATAATTTGATGTATGATATATATTCGTAATAAATCCTGATATTGTATTATTCTTACAATAAACATTAATATTACTGGCCATTTAAAAAATTGTTAACGCGTACTTTACGTTTTGTGAAGGAAATACATTCCAAAATATGCGTCAGTAATCAAATAATTTCTTACTTAATGAAACTTTACATTATTTAGCTTGATATATTAACATAAATATATACTAAATCAATGACTTAAATATGATTTTCGAAGTCTTCTAAAGATAAAGAAAAAAAACATATTATTGAAACCATAATATTGCAAAGCCTTGGAGGGTCAGGTAACATCTTGGACCATAATACTGTAAAACATTGGAGAGTCAGATCGTCTCTGGAACCATAATACTGTAAAATAATCGGAGGGTCTATAACAATCTAGAACCGTAATGCTGTAATACTTTTGCAAATCAGATTGAATCTTTAACTATAATACTATCAACCATTTGAGAGTCACATAATAATACAAAGCCTTAGAGGGCCGAGTAACATCTTGAACGATAGAACTGTAAAACCTTTGGAGAGTCAGATAATTTCTTAAACAATAATATTATAATGAAAAAGCATATGAGGGTTATGTAACATCTTGAGCCATATTACTGTAAAACCTTTGATAGTCAAATGAAATCTTACCATAGAGTTTTAGTTGGTAAAACTACATGGAAATCATTTTGTAGATTACCAAAATATAACCGTTAATGTACAAGTGTCAAGTGGTTACAATATAGAATATAACGAAAGTAAAGATAATAAAAGTGTTAACCTAAACATTCGATACGAATCTATAGAATGGCTTTTGCATTCATGTTATTTTCTTTTTGGTAAATTTTAAACTTTACAATTTTTACTAAATATTGCAATCGATGTATCTTATTCATAATTCTAAGGGAGAAGCCAAGATGAAGGAAAACAGAGAATTACAAAATAAAATGAAGCAACTCGAAGAGGAAAATTCACGACAAGTACGTTTTAAATAGTGACATTTTAGCATATATTTCTACATGCAGTATGGATAAACATATCTTTTAACAGTCGTTATATTAGGAAAATGGAAACATAAAGACGATCGTACACAACAGAATGTGAAATTTACTGTCTGTGTATCGCTAGATCGCAATGCAATATATCGCTATACTTGATCCCAACACTCTCAAAAATTTACAATGAAAAGTAAAACAAAGTATAAGGAGAAAAAATTTCAGACTATGTCTGCTTTCAATATAATTTTATCACGTGATTACAAACCTTGAATGAGTTGTCAATTCATTTACCCGTTTTGTATCTCTTTGCAACCAACACTTCTAAAATCCTCAAACTCTTGCTTTACACCAGAAAAACGAGAGCTTTGAGTTGGCATACCACGTAGGCGTCTCCTTTTCTTGTCCGTTTGTGTAGCACGATCAAACATTCTTATATGCCGGCTACACGCGATGCATTGGTTGAAATAGTCGAAACTTGTTTATAAATGGCAACCGGTAGGAAACAGGTTTCATATTTTTGTTGTAATTTATTGCAATGTTTGCTTAAACTTTTACTTAATGTAAGCAAAGTAAAACTTTATATTGGCATTTTGCTAATCTTCTTAATATGATTGGAAAAAATGTAAATTAGATATTTTTTATAGAAAACGATATCAACACAAGCGCAGAGTGAATTATCTGACACCAAGCAAGAAAGCAAACGATTGAAAGACGACAAATTAAAGTTGCAAACGGAGATAGACGAAATGGTTTGTATAATTTGATGTCGAATATATCTCTTAATAATACTGATTTCTAATATTCTGATAATGCATATTAATAATACAGGTTATTTGAATAATTCTTAAAGCGACCTTATAGTTAGGTAAAATGTTTTATATAGAAGACAAATCAAAAGCTTTAAGATGGAAAATAAAATTTACCATCGATAATGTACACTAACAATAAGGAAACCACTGATACCTTTAAATTAGCGATCTGCTTTGTATATCTTAATAAGTAGTGCAAACGATTCGTTTTCCGATACACTGTCTTAAGAAAAGAGAACGAACGTCATTGACGTTCTATCAAAAATAGCTGTCGAGACGCTGTTTTGAAGAAAGCTTTACAGCGTGTAATGCATTTTTCAAGCATAAAAGTTTTGAAGTTTTACATGAAACAAAATAGAATTGTTTTTTCGAAGAACAAAAAAAGCTGAAGGCTGCCATGCAGAACTATCATTGCTGAATTCCATTCTTCAAAATAAGAAACTGATCATAAAAAGAGAAACAAGTATTGGGTCATGGCAAAAGAGGAAAACATAGAAACAGACATTGTAACCAAAATGTCAAATACTTCATTATTCTGTGTAAAAACATCTTTAAAAAAATATATCAATATCTTTGTATTAGAATTGAAGGAAATGTTTCTGAAAATGTGCGTCAAAAGTCAAATGTTGCATTTTAACTTACTGCTGAACAATTCAACTTTTACCATCAAAAAATATTTCTTACTTTATAAAAAGCTCATCATCCAGCTTAATATGTTAACATGTATATATACTAAATTAATTACTTGACTATTATTTAGAACTCTTCTAAAGATGAAGAAATAAGCATAAACAAAGAATTACAATTGAAGCTGAAGAATCTTGAAAGGGATTTAGAATTGCAAGTAGGTTACATAAAATATTTCTTTATGGAGTTATTTGTTATACTTACTATAAAAAATATTTCTTACTTTATGAAAAGCACATCATCCGTTATACTAAATCAATGACTTGACTATTATTTTAGAAGTCTTCTAAAGATGAAGAAATAAGCATAAACAAAGAATTACAATTGAAGCTGAAGAATCTTGAATCAGATCTGAAAAGACAAGTAAGTAAAACAAGAAAAATATTTCTTTATGGAGTTATTTCATATCTGCAAGTTACCACAATACTGTAAAATCCCTACGAGCCAGATCAAATCTTGAACAATAATTCTGTCAAATTTTAGTTTCAGATTGTATTTTGAACTAAAAAACAGTAAAACTTTTAATTCGGATTTAATCTTTAACTATTAAATTGTATACTTTTAACAGTCAGATCGTATCTTGAAGGAAACTACTATAAAATTTGAAGAATCAGACTGATTTGTTTTTTACTTTAATATTGAAAAATAGAGTGAAATGAAGAATGCTTCAAGAACGCATAACATGATTAATTGATAAATATTTCACTTGCGGTTTCATTGAACCTGTTCAGGGGGGGGGGGGGTTATGGAAATGCAAATAACCGTCCACGCCGCCCCTCTAGCACCGACTTAAGCAGAATTCAACATTTAACGATGACAGTGGTGAAGTATTGAATTTACATAGTGTCACCAATGCTAAACAGAATATTAGCATTTTGTCAACCTTCTAAATATTATTGGAAAAAGGATGTGAATATTGAGTATATACTATTTTTTATTAGAAAACTTTATCAACACAAGCGCAGAGTGAATTATCAAACACTAAACAAGAAAGCAAACGATTGGAAGATAACAATTGGAAATTGCAAATAGAGGTAAACAAAATGGTATGTATAAATGGATTTGAAATATTTACTTTTAATAAATCCTGATATTGTATTATTTATACTAAAAACATTAATATTACTGGCCATTTGTAAAATTGTTAATGCGTCCTTTACGCCTTTAGTAAAGGAAATACATTTTAAAATATGCGTCAATAATCAAATAATTTCTCACTTGATGCAAAATTACATTATTTAGCTTGATATATTAACATTTATATATATAAGATATAGCTTATTTCCGGTCAATGGTGGTCAGTTTGTAAACAAAGAAACGTAGCTGAAATTTGTATCTTAGGAAGAGAAAAAGATATTCACTTGTAATAATAAGGCCATTGAAAGGTATAAACATTGATATTTTTAAAAATATGAGTTTAGAGAACAGCATATACGAAGAAAACATGATAAATACAGAGAACAGATTTGAGAGCCTAAATGACCTTGATGGGTGGGGTACGGAACCGTGGAAAACTCAAGAGAGGAAAAGAAAGAAAAAGAACAATAGTGTAGATTGTGACGATTTCGCAAAGCTTTCGACTGATGATAAATTAACAGCATTATTTGAAGGCATGATTAGAAATTTTGAAAAACTAGAATCCTTAGAATCGAAACAATCCCAGTACATATTTAACTTTACTAGAGTAAACGAAAAAGCATCTGTAGCAAACGAAAGAGTAACATAGGTAGAACAATGCCTAGCTGTGCAAAATAGGAAACTAAATTTTTTTCATACAAGTCATTGGGTATTGAGGCAAGAAGTCGCAAAAATAATCTAATATTTTGGGGGGTCGTCTGAAAACAACAACATTTCATCTGCAAATTTTATCTCAAATTTCCTAAGGGCCGAACTAGATCTTAATCCGCCAACAGAAAATCCAAACGTTATAGAGAGAGCGCATAGACTAGGCTCTCCAAGTAATCATAAATATAGAAACATGTCAGATCATAAAAGACCTTTGATTGTAAAATTTACAGATTATATAGACACAGAAATTGTCCTGAATAACGCTTACAAATTTAAGGGAACCCATTTCAGTACAGACAGAAACTATCCTCGTTGAAATTGTAGACGGCTAGAAAAGAACTGTATAATACAACAGAAGCAAAAGGGAGCCTAAGATCAAGGCGTGAAAAATTTGTCATAATAACGTACCCCGGCTAAGTTATTCATCAATAACAAACTTGTTCATTGATATGTTCCTGGAATGTTTTGAAGTACTAAAAGAGTCAAGGGTTTATTCTTTCGAACCCAGTACGTCACATTCAAACCATACGTTAAATATACCAACGATATCCACAGGGCCCAGTTCAATAGAGTTGATATATTTTTACACAAAACGAAGTATTTGAAAGTACAGAAAACAACAATACACGTAAAACAGAAAACAACACGTGAACCACACCCCACTTTAAAAATAGTAAACACAGCTGAAATTTCATATACACGGTCAAGTTCATTATGCAACGTGCTAAAAATACATATATGTCACCATTGACCTATAATTATTTTTTAAAATGATGATCATTGTATACCATGACACTCATGGGTTTGAAACCTGTTGTGAATAAAGATTATTATTATTTATTATTATTATATACTAAATCAATGACTTGAATATCATTTTAGGAAGTCCTCTAAAGATGAAGAAATAACCAGAAACATGGAATTACAATTGAAGATGCAGAATCTTTAAACAATCTAAGAATTGCAAGTAAGTAACATAAAATATTTCTATATGGAGTTATTTGATATCTGCAAGTTACCTATACACGTGTAAAATCATTTGAAGAGTCAGATACAATCATTGAACAATAATAATGTAAAAACATTGAGTGTCAGTAAAAAGGTATTGGCTAAGAGTTAGATTTGGCGCGCCTAACCCCGGTTTTTAAACTCCCCAGTGTTTAACTACCACTGACCGTTCCAAGGCGGTACCCCTTTGTGTTCCTTCACGTGTTTTCATCAATGTCTGTATTGTTTACTTGTTTTGGATGTTTACATGTTTTGATGTCTGTCTGTTGGATTGTCGTTGACAGTAGTATTTTCTCAATCCCCCTTGTCCCCTTTTTACCCCCCCCCGTATCTTTTCACCTTACAGCCCTTATCCTTTTAATTTCATTATGGGGCCCGTTATAGTTAATATTATTTCACATTACATGTCCACTCCTTTCACCCTAATGTCCACTCCAGGTTTTTGCTTGGTGCCTTCTGGGTGCCCTTCTTGGGTGTGTCGGGGACCGCGTCCTGTGAACATTGCCTTTGCCTTGTTGATCTTTATTCTTGTTTTTTAACTATAATACTGTTAAAACTTTGTGTGCCAGATCAAATCTTGAACCATAATACTGTAAAACCTTAGACAGTCAGTTTACTGTTTAAGCAGAATACAAAACAACTTTGAGTTTGTTAACATCTTAAAGCTAGAGAGTGAAAAACCTTGGAGTGTCAGATCAAATCTTAAACAATTAAACTGTAAAACCTTGGAGAGTTAGTTAACTATATAAGCAGAATACAAAACAACTTTGAGTTTGTTCACATCTTAAACCAAGATAGTGTAAAAGAAAAGTTTGACGTGTCAGATCAAATCTTGAACCATTATACTGGAAAACATTAAATATCTAGTTAAAATGATTACAAAAATACTGTTAAACCTTAGTTAGCCGGATCGAATTTTGAACCATGATACTGTTATACTTCGGAGAGCTAGACCGTATGTGAAACTAGTTAACTTATTAAAGCTTGTCTACTCAGGTGCCCGTTCGTGCCTGAAATAATGCACGGAAGGGCACCTGAGGTCTTCCTCCACCAGTAAAGCTGGAACGTCGCGATATGACCTATACTGTGTCGATGTGACGTAAAACCCAAAAAACAAACAAAAACAAACAATTAAAGCTTGAGAGTCCGATTCAATCTTTAACTATCATACTGTAAAATCCTGTATAATATGATCATATGTTGAACTATAATACTTTAAAAACTTTGGAGAGTCAGAATGAATCTTTAACTTTAATACTGTAAAACATTTAGAGAGTCAGATCATTTCTAGAACCATAATACTTTAAAATTTTGGAGAGTCAGATGGAATATATAGCTATAATACTGTAAATTCTTGGAGTATAAAATCTTATCTAGAAACTTAGTACTGTATAACATCGGAGAATCAGGACAAAATTATTAAAAACCATAATAATGACAAAGCCTTGGAAGGTGAGGTAACATCTTGAACCATAATACTGTAAAACTTTAGAGAGAAAGATCGTCACTGGAACCATAAAACTGTAAATAATCGGAGGGATATATAATAAACTAGAACCGTAATGCTGTCATACTTTTGCAAATCAGGTTGAATCTTTAACTATAATACCAGCAACCATTTGAGAGTCAGACCATGTCTTGAACCATAACAAAACTTAGCATTAGAGGGCCAGGTAACATCCTGAACGATAATACTGCAAAACCTTTGAAAGTCAGATCATTTTTTTCTTTGACAATAATATTATAATGAAAAGCATCTGAGGGTAATTGACATCTTCAGCCATATTACTGTAAAATCTTTGAGAGTTAAATGAAATCTTACCATAAAGTTTTAATTGATAAAACTATATGGAAATCATTTTGTAGATTACCAAAATATAACCGTGAATGTACAAGTATAAAGTTTCTACAATACAGAATATCACTAATGTAAAGAAAATTAAATAGCTATTGCATTCATGTCATTTTCTTTTTGGTAATTGTTTTAGTTTACAATTTTTACTTAATATTGACATCGATATATCGTATTCAGAATTCTAAGGGAGAAGCCAAGATGAAAGAAAACAGAGAATTACAAAATAAAATAAAGCAACTCGAAGCGGACCATTCACGACAAATACGTTTTGGTGACATTTTAGCATATATTTCTACATGCAGCATGGATAAACATGCCTTTTAATAATCGTGATATAAGGAAAATGAAAACATACAGACAAAAAAGAATGCGAAATTTACTGTCTGTGTATCGCTAGATCGCCATGCAATATAATCGCTATACTTGATCCCCACACTCTCAAACGTAGTCGTTATTATATACTTACAACTCTGGCACATTATATTTACATTTCGATACCGTCTCTCTTTGTATGTTGATTAATGACAGATTGCACATATTCTTTTAGTATGATTCCCCTGCCTACATTTACTATGGAACGTATAACGAAGTATAAAGAGATAGAACTCCCGTTGTCCTATTTTGTAGCACGGTAAAACATTATGATAGGCCGGCTACACGCGATGCATTGGTCGAAATAGTCGAAACTTGTTTATAAAAGGCGGTAAGAAACAGGTTTCATATTTTTGTAAATAATTTTTATTGAAATGTGTGCTTAACCCCTAATTAATGTAAGCAATGTTTAACTTTATATTGGCATTTTTGCTAATCTTCTTTAATATGATTGGAAAAAATGTAAATTTTTGAATATAAACAGTTTTTTCTAGAGAACGATATCAACACAAGCGCAGAGTGAATTATCTGACACCAAGCAAGAAAGCAAACGATTAAAAGACGACAAATTAAAAGTTGCCAAACGGGAATAGATGAAATGGTTTGTATAATTGGATGTCGAATATATTTCTTAGTAAATACTGATTTCTAATATATAATGCATATTAATAATACAGGTCATTTGAATAATTCTTAAAGCGACCTTATTGTTAGTTTAATCGTTTTATATAGAAGTCAAATCATAAGCGTTTAGATGGAAAAGAAAATTTAACATCGATAACATACATTAACAATAAGTAAACCACTGATACCTCTAAATTACCGGTCAGCTCCGTATATCTTAATTAGTAACGCAGACGATTCGTTTTCCGATCCTCTATCTTAAGAAAACAAAAGCAAACGTCATTGACGTGCTATAAAAAAAGCTCAAAAAGAGCTGTCGGGACGCTGTTTTAGCATGTAATGCATTTTTCAAGCATAAAAGTTTTGAAGTTTTACATGAAACAAAATAGAATTGTTTTT